AGAATAGAAGTGACTTTGGATAAAAGTGGTTTTGGGATAAACTATTAATTATTGATTATTAATTACTAACTACTTATTGAATTTGAACAACTAATCCCAACAATCCCATAAAAAGGAAGAAGAGGTCAGCAGAAGAAATAATCCAAAACAACTAGAAGAATCTGAAGAGCAAGGGTTGAGCAATGCTTATGGTGAGAGTAGAGAGAAGTCACTGGAGGCTATAGAAGATTTTATAATTTTTTTTATTCAGAAAAGTGATTTCATTTTTTTTTTTTGTTATTAGGGTAAGTAGCTCGGGGGAAGGGGGTAGGGAGGGAAATCAAACCTTTGCCATGATGAAGAAGGCTTACATTAAGCTGCTGGCCCATTAGATTAGTAGGCTTTTTTCGTGATTTTATAATTAGTTACACGCTTGGAGCAATTGTTTTATTTTCAACTTTTTTCCATTCAAAGGATACAACTTGAATTGGAAGCCACACATTGATGCCAAGAGGCTTCGCAGGCAATGCCAAAGTTTAACATCAGTGTTCAAGAGACACTGATGTGTTATTACAAAATGGAGGCTTAACGTACATGAGCATCCAAAGATAAATAAATAAATTGTCTTATTTGCTCAAATTAAAAAGTTAGAGGGTAAATATCCATGCTTTATAAGGTAAAGAGTAAAAAACCTCAAGATCAATAAAAAGTAATGACAAAGTATGGGTGTCTTTGCCAACCAAGAGCGGCACCTACTAAATAAATCCTAGCTCTTGTACCATCCCCGTAGCATAAATAACCAATCCCAACAAATATCACTGTAACATTTCAATCCTACCATGAAAATCCATTGAAACATAATGCCAATATATATATATATATATATATATATTTGGTCCCAAAACAAGCATAGGAAGTCAATTATAAAGGGTGCAGTTGGCCCTTCCAACTAGATGAAGGTGCATCATATATGGCTTAGCTTTTGTGGATGGGTTTGATGCCCCTCATAAAAAGTATAATATTTCTGAAGGATCATAACGATACAAATTAATAAATGGTTACAACTGTAATGTACAATGACACTGGTTGAGATAAATAAAACAATTATAATATAACAAACACCACTAAAAGCAATCGCACCAAGAATGTCAATTTTAATTTTCACTTAACAACTTGTCTTATTTGAACACAAATAAACATGTTTTATGTGTGCTTTGGAAATGCAAGTTTGATTATTCTATCCAACTCAATTAGCGGAAGCACTAAGGAAGTTCTTGAACCATTCCACAGAATCCTTGGGGTATCTCTTGAGGTTGTCCTTATAGTCAACAAAGTAGAGACCAAATCTTGAGGTGTAGCCAGCACTCCACTCCCAGTTATCCAATAAAGACCACACAAAATACCCTTTAACATTACAACCATCTTCTCTGTATCACCCATAATAAAACCATGTTAGCTTTCACTCCTATACATATATATATATATATGCAATTATATCATAAACAGTGATATGTACAATACTATTGATATCATACTTGATGGCAGCAAGAAGGTTGGATAGGTAATCATGATGGAATTTGATTCTCTTCTCATCTTTCAGAGCATCTGTAATCGATATAAATGGGTTATTTGGGTCATCCATCCCTGTCATAACAATGGAAGATAACAATTTAGCGTACTTATCTTAGCCAATCAAACAAACATTGCATATCTCATGAAAATAATACTTCAAACAGACAGCTTAAAGAAGCAAAGGCATCATTTAGTGAACTGATTTTGAATTGCTTAAATATCAAAAGCTTACCATTTTCAGTGATAATGATTGTAGGGTTGCCATACTTCTGCCTGATGTAGTTCATTAAACTTCTCATACCTTGGGGTACGATGTACAACCATATGGAATTAGCCTACAATATGACAGAAGTTAAAATAGTTTAATCAGGGAACGAATCAATAGGGATTAATTATCTCACCAACTAGATACATCATCCATAAGTTTTTATTATTTCGTATGGTATTCATATCTCCAATAAGCAAATTGACAATTTACTCCAGTAATAAACACAAGGAAGATGTGGAGGATATGTCATTTTTAGTTGGTTCTAAACATAGATAAAAGTTTGGATTCCATACCCTGTCTCCTATAGGCTGGAGTCCATTTTTGAAAGCTACATTGCAAAAACATCTAGGATAATTAGTGGCTACATTCACAAGAAAAGAGTAACGCTATGTGCAAAAGAATGCATCAAAACATCAAATACAACCGTTACTTACGTAGAGTAGTGGTGCCGGAGTCTGAAAGAGAGTCATTAAGCAGAACACCAATTATATTAGTTGCATTGTTTCTTGCATAAAATGTAGTGTAATGATTAATGCCAATAAAATCGAATGAGCCCTTGACAAGAGCAGCCTCAGATTTAGTAAATTTTGGCAATCGGCTTCCAACTCTACTTCTCATTGTGCTTGGATAATCTCCAAAGATCAGAGGCTCAATAAACCTATAGGAGTACCAAAATCACATCTACTAAGTATGGCATGACTCCATAAAACATTGTTAGGCCTCAGTTTGAACTTCTATTCACCAAATGGAGTTAATTTATTCAAAAGTATAATGTAATGCTTGCCAACCGTGAATAATATTTATTACTGCTAACACTCCAAATCCATGTTTAGATTGAGCAAAGTAAGTGATAGAAGTTATAATTACCATCCAAGCTGAAAATCTTGAGCACGTTGAGCTGCTTCAATATCTACTGTGGAGTTATTTTCTGGTTCATACCAAATAACATCAAGTGATATCCCAATTGATCCTTGTTGTTTTGCCTATAATATCATTAGTACATGTCAGTTTTAGTGGTTGTTTTAATTTTGATATCATCATTTTAATCTTGATATCAACTTATTTTCATTCTTTATCTATAATCTCAACTTAGTTTAAGCTTCAAAATGACACCCTGTAACGTTTACCTTGTACTTGTTCCTGTAAATATCTACCACAGTTGCATGGGAGCGAAGAATGTTGTGTGCTACTATGTAAGGCTCAGTGGCAGAGTTTCCAGCCTTGCAAAAGAGATGAAGCAGGATGGTGCAGCGTCCAGGTGCCTGAAGACCTACATCATAGCCTTGTATGGCAATTGTATGGGGCTCATTGAATGTGATCCAGTGCTTCACCCTGTCACCAAACTTCTGAAAGCATGTCTCAGCATATACAGCAAAGTCGTTTCTGCAAAATAACCAAGGCCACATACATTTGTCACTTGAATCATATACATTAAGATTAATATATATATATATATATGAATATATTTCTAAACTCTTTGAAAATTATTTACACGATTTGGGGATCGAGCCATCCAATGTATTTGTCTTCCAAGGCTTGAGGAAGATCCCAATGGTAAAGGGTCACATATGGTTCTATTCCTGCATGCATAACATTTATATACAGTATATCATGAGCACTATAATGAATTCGTTTAGTTTTCATTGACAATTGAAACATGAAGAAGAATGAGCATAACTTATACCATTAGCAAGTAGACCATTGATGAGATTATTGTAGTGATCAACTCCTGCTTGATTAATCGTCCCAGTTCCATCTATTTCCAGACCCAATATTAGACCCTTTTCATTTCATGCATGGAAACTGACTAAGCCAAATTTAAATTTTTTAATTAATCTTTATAACAAACACTAAGTAACTGGGAATTGTCTTATACTATATACATCAAGCTTGAAACTTACTAGGGAATATTCGAGACCAAGCAATGGAAAACCTATAGGCATCCATTCCCATGTCCTTCATAAGCTGTATATCTTCCTATTTTCGACCAAAAAGAGAAAAAAAAAAAAAAAACTTGATTCACCAACTAATTAGGGGCAAACAGGGGCAAATCTAGTTAAATTTAATTTCTCATAGCCTGAATTTGTTACTGTAGATGTAAAATGTAGTAGTGTCAAGTGAACGACCACATGGGATTGCAAGAATTGGCAGTAAGTTTAGCATTATTGATGACAAGCATATATTAGAGGTGTAGACTTACAGGATAACGGTGGTATTGATCCTCAGCAACATCAGCGTTACTACCATCTATTATCTTACCTGCAATAACATATAACACAAACAATTGACCCATCAATATATGCATATATGCACATGAGCTGTATATCTACTTAGTCTAGTCCTTCAATCGTTTCATTTGATTGGTCCAGAAATCATAGGGCATATTTGGTTTATGGATTAACTATTCCTTAGTCATTAAGAGTACTTGACTTGACAAGGTAAGTATTTTTTTAAAGTGAAAAGAGTAGGAATATTTAAGGGATGGGAGATGTGGTTGGCTTGTTCGAAATCTCAACTTGGTGTTGGTGCCATACCATAAACTCGTAAAGGATCGAGAGTGATAACTTGTGTTACTAGGTAATTGGCTAATAAGATTGGCATAAGGATAACCATTTTCTATAAATTAAATTAAGAAGTAACCAAGAAATAGTGGCCAAAACCTTCTCATTAAAAATTTAAAAGCAGAATACTCTTATATTCCCCACCTCCATACCTTGGCAAGTGCAATAATTATTTTCGTGAGCATTTTGACCGAGAAATATCAACTTGTTGAGGCAAAAGACAAAAAGGCACCTTGTTGACTTTATTTAATTGGTTTTGGAAAATTAGTGCAACTTGCTGCGAGCTTTACAAAACCCAAAAAAAAAAATCCTTTTTGTGGTATTAAAAAGTCGAAATATTTTTAACCAATTAAAAAAGGTCAATCACAGGATAGATTAATAATAAATATTTTACTATTTCAAAATAATAGTTACGAATTATTTTTTATTCAAAATTTATTATAAATTAATTATTATTTTCTTATATTTAAAAGGACAAAAGCCGCCTAGTATGGATATGTGAGAAATTTAGAATATTACCAGAAGTATGCGAAAATGTGTCCCAAATGGTGGCCCCGCGCCCAGCCTCCTTCACCGCTCCTTCATACTGCAAATCAAAGATCTTCATCATGAGTACCATTCAGAATTTCAAACAA